AGAAGTTTGAACATCAGTACCAATTCATGTGGGTTTATTTTATTTCAAAGCTTACACATGAATGCTACATAAGGAAGATACATTTATCAATGCTGTCCTGCAATGGTTTTCCAAAATGGAGGCGCTAAACTATATTTGACTAAACACAAGCTCTCATTGAATTTAAAAAAAAAATTTAGTACATGCAATTTCTTTTTAATATTAAGGAATATGTTTAAATATACATAATCTTCAGAGGGCTTCATGACATGGATGTGTTTAACTATTAAGCAATAAATGATTTTGACAAATACATTAGCATACGGTCCACTTTCTTATACAATTATAGGTTTCTTCTGATTTCTCTTTATTGACGGTTTTTGCATAGAATGGATTATTTAAATTATTTCATTGATTAAAATATGCTATTTTATGTTTCCCTACTTAAACACAGCATCTTCTGTGAAAATGCAATGAATTCTCAGCTGCTATGATATAGAAACTTTTGAAAATATAAAAGCACCATACATATTTGAAATGGATATATTTCTCTAGGTAATTTTTCTCATTGTATCACAGCCAAATCCTTCTTGTTCTGTGTGTTGATTATTGGCCCTGGAATATTTTGTCTTACTTTTAAAATATCCAAGACACTAAAACCTTGCGGCATTTGCATAAAGTTATGAAGACAGCAATGTTCAGATGAAGAGCCCCAGTAAGCAGGAGGCAGGACTAGCCCCAGGACCATCCCTAGAGTTGTCTTTGAAAACAACTCCATTACCATAAATTTTAAACAAATCAGAATGGATGGAAATTAAAAAGAAAAAAATCTTACAAAGCCCATTTCTATGAGAAAGATAGCAAAAGAAATGAGAAATTCCAGAGATGTAACATTATCTAAGAAGGAGGGATCACTGTACTCTCTACTCTTTTCCAAAAGCTCACAGATAGATGACACTGGAAATATTCTCACAAGTATTGCACACAATTTCTTTTTAACTTAGAAAAACACAGTATCATTTAAAAAAAATGCTCTCATTAAAGAAATACTCTTAACAAGTATCGCATACAATTTCTTTTTACTTAGAAAAACATGGTAACATTAAAGAAACCTTGCCATCAATTTTTATTTCAGATTCAGCATTTTTATGTTGTCTGTGTGCGTCTGAACCCAAGGCCTTAAAGCTGTGTGCCTCACACAGAGAACTAACTTATCTACCCAAGGAAATTGAGACTTTATGAAAAGCAAGCATGGTTTAACTTGAAACAATAAAAATTCTTCCAGGATAAAAATGGTTAACAAATCATCTTTCCAGTTTCAAACATATATGGGAGAAAATATTTAGGGCATATTTATGCGATTTCACTTCTTCGATGGGATTGTAGGAATAAACTTTAGTACAGAGATTTTCCTAGGGACGTATATTATTTTTATCTATGCTGTAGCCATATTCCTGATCAAGTTTTGATGTTACCATTTGAATTTTAGCATCCAACTTGATCGAATGGTGGAACATTGAATTCTTGATGGACATATCTAAACCTGAAGCACCGCACTGACACCAGTGCTATAACTGTCACTATTCACAGCGACCTCTTTCCTTTGAGATTGCTTGCCAAAGGCCAGTTTAGAGAATGCTTTTGAATATGTGCATCACCAGTCACTTAATAAATGGCTGGCCCTGTGTGGCATCACTCATTTGATCACATAACTGAAACAATCAAACACAGATCCAGATTCTCTGATAATACTCCCTGACAAGCAAGTCTGTTCTCCTCCATCTGGTCCCCTACAGCTCAGAGCTTAGCATAATATAGTCACGAACTAGAAAAGAAGTTATTCTACAGGCTTTACAAGAATAAATAATGCACCACTGAAAGTTATCACTGGAAACTAGCTAACCACATGTTTCTCAATGAAATGTGGATTCATCTCTCCTAAGGGTACTTTAGTTTCCATGACTGTTCAAGTTAAGCAAAACATTACCACGGATGTAATTACTTTATAAAACACAAGGGCCCTTTTCTGAACTTTCTACTTAGGCTGGCATATGGCTTCTAGTTTCTCCTTCTGGCTTTCGGAGCTGTTCAGAGCCCTGAAGCCTTCTGCACAGTATGTCTCCCTTTGGATGCAGTTAAGTGCAGAGGTGCAATTTAAGAAGAGGCATAAAAGGCCCACTGTTTCCTGGAATTTCCTTTGTTTATCCATAGAGGGCATCAGTATTAGCCTTTCTCCTGCAGTTTGGGGCCGCAGGTGCCATACTGCGAGAGATACAGACTTGTCCTCTGGACTGCTAATCTGAACAAGACATGAGGAGGGGAGGGGGCAGGCAAGGGCGGGGGAGGGGGGCTCAATATGCCCCAAAGAAATCCATTTCTACTGAAATTTAGGAACAATGAAAAACTGAGCCTTTCTTGTCCCTGTTGTTGGTTAATGTCTCTCCATGAAAGCAAACAAATCCAAATGCACATGGCCTGTCTTTCTCTAATCCTTTTTTACAGAAGCAGTTTTAGAGAATTTAATGTATATGGTTATAAGAATGAGTGTTTAAGAGAGTATGTAAGAAAAAATCATTACTTAGAGATTCACCTGGAGGCTCATAATTATTGAGGAAAAATTTAATTATTCATTATCAATAGAGGACTTAATCAAAATACACATAAAGAGGTGAATATATTCATGTAAAATAAAATAATGATCCATTAAATTATCAGCCACTAATTGTTGCCTAAATTACTAAAAAAATGTGGGAGAGAATTATTCCATTAAATTTAGTCATATAAACTAGAATTCCTAAGGCAAAGTCAAGTAATATACAAAAGTGAAAATATAACTTACTGAAGAGCTAAGGAAACTTTAAGAGTACAACAGGATACTTTTGTTCCCCATGTGGTTTGTTCTCTCTCTGTCTCTCTCTCTCTGTCTTTCTCTCTCTCTGTCTCTCTCTCTCTGTCTCTCTCTCTCTGTCTTTCTCTCTCTCTCTGTCTCTCTCTCTGTCTCTCTCTCTCTCATGTTGCCTCTAATCTTTCTCTGAAGTGTCTACTTAGCTCTTCTTTACTTACTATAAACCTGAAAATATTCATATTTTAAAAACACTGTCAAGACCAAATAAAATTAACGAAATTTATAAGAAAAATTAAATATGACCCTTATATCTTAAGTGTAAGAAGTATTAAAATATTAAATATTTCACTCTCACAAAATCAGAAGTTGAGAATTCCAATAAAGATGAGTACTTTCTAAATAAAACTATGGTTCTTTAGCATACCCAATAAATGTTCTATTTAGATACATTTTTCAATAAAATTTGAATTCAAATTTCTCTGATCTGCTAGGATTTTTAAGCTTATTTCTCTATTGATGTCAATTAGTAAGAGGTAATACAGCACATCTAGAACCATTTTTGGCATTAGAAAATTCTAAGTAAATGTTGAGAAACTGAATATTCCTTGGACTGTTCTGTTTAAAGCCACAGGTTGGAGTTATAATCTAACACTACAGAGTAAATTTTTTCCTTAAATGTATGCAAAGTTAAGGAAAAAGTTATGTTTAATTCACTCTTGAAATGTAAAAATTCTAAATATTTGTATACTAAATGTCAAAGACTTTCTGATCCCTACACATTATAATTTGATCTGACTTTTCTCACTAACCCTAAAGTGAGATGAGGATTTTGAGACATGATTTCAGATGAAGAATAGGAGACTACAACCAAATATTTCTTTAGAATAAAAATGATTTAAAAATTTCAATGTCTAAGTTTTGAAAATTCATGTAAAAAGGGTGAAATTGCTGCTTTTCAAAGAAAGGGTAATGCGACAAATTTCCTGGAAACAAATTCATTAAACTCGTACATATAAAACAATGTTGTATCAATGAAAGATCTGAAAGAAAGTTGCTCAGCAATACCCCTGTAATATTTAATTGTGAGCACTGAAAATTAGAGAAAAGTTCCTCTGCTGAAGCTGTTCTAGAGTTGCCAAACTGTCAAAACTGCTTTCTTTCCATCACAAAGTCTATCTTTTCACTGAATGAATGACTTTCTAAGAATGAATATGTACACTCGGTGCATTCTTAGGAATGTTGCTTCAGTTTGAAGTTGAAGCGCTTGATTACGTTTTTACCATCAGCAGACTGCTTGATAGATATTAGATAGAGAAACAATTAACAGGTGAATGTATATTATATATAAGAATCTTGGTGTGTATTTGAATTCTAGGCACACATATACATGCATGATGTTGAAGGACATAATGACTTGAAACTAATTACGAGCAAATGTTTGGGGAGCAACTGTTCGGAAAACCTGGTGCTACTCTGTCCCACAAAGTGCTTCTCCAGCATAGCCATCTATCACCAGCCATCTATCAGGCAGCCCTGCCTGGGCGATGCCCCCCTCCCTGATTAGAGATCGCAGTTGCCGAGTTGGCTTACAGGGTGTCATCTGTTTGAATGACAGATGTCTTTGCTGGAGTGGCACTCTGCTTGTTCCTGTTTTGTTTAGGAAACAAAGATTCCTAAAAGGTCCTAGGCAGTCGTCAGCCTCAGAAGGAGCTCGGACGTGTCAAAGGGGAGAGGGACAGGGGCGAGGAATGGGGCAAAAGTCCATTTTCTGCCCGTTGTCTGTTTGTAAAGAGACTCGTTCTAACGGTGCTCTCAAGACGTGATTCCTCCGAGCACTGCCCGCGGCCACCTTTGTTTACCTGGCACCGAAGACTTGCAGGCTATTCCCCAGCTCCCCTGCCCATCCTTCGCGGACAGATAATAACTCTGGACTCTCCTTCCCCTTAACAAAAGGCTGCGCAGCCCCCCGAAACCGAGTCGATACTCATTCAATAACGTTAACCAGCGCTCGGCGCGGCTGTTTCCCGGTCCCCGAGGCCACCCCCGCGCCCGCCGCCCGCTGCGGGGTCCAGCCGGGGGGCTTGCACGGGCGCCTCCGGGGGAGCAAGTTCCGGGCCGGGAAAAGTTTAGCTGAGCCGCGGGCCGGCCCGGGGGGCTCCGGCGGGGCGGGACTCACCGGGGCGCGCGCGGGGGGCGTCCTCGCCGTCCTCGGGGTCCGCGGGCGCGGCCAGGGGCTCGCTCGGCTCCTCGGGGGGCGCGGCCGCGTCCTCCCCGCTCGGCTCCGCGTTCATGTCGGTGGGCGCCGCCGGCCAGGGCTTACGGACGTGTCCGGCTATCATCGGGTCCTGCTGGGCAGAGGGCAGGAGAGTGGCCGCTGAGCGCGCGTCCCGCCGCCCCCGCCCGCGCCGGGACTCCCACCCCCGAGCCGCGGCCGAGAGGAGCCTCCGAGGGGAGGGGCAGCGCGGGAAGAACTTCGGAGAGCCGCCTGGGCTGCGCCGCTTAATTGTAGGATGTGCTTTTGTGTGGATGTTTTTACACCTTGTTCTGGCTTTAATGCAGCAGGGGGAAAAAAATTAGAAAGGGTTGGGCTTGCACTTCGCAACGGAGCCAAAGGGAGAAGGAGCACCTACGAAGGGGGCTGGGCTGTTATTTAAGGCTGCCCTCTCCCAGGGGGAGAAGCAATTAGACCCAATCTTGAGAGTCGAGGAAAGAGATAAGGGGCAGAAGAGGCCCCCGAAAGCATTCACGGGAGGGGGGTCTTATGTAAATTCTCCAAAGCACCCTCACAAGTTGATTTCTCTCTCCTCAGTTTGGGGACAGAAACTGACCCCAAATCAAATGAACATTTTCAAGCAAGCACTACACAACTAAATAAATGAAACTTGGTTTAAAAATCGTTAAAGGAATTGAAAAAATACTTACAAACGGTGTTCAATAAATCAGATACCTCTTATGCCCAAACATTAATGAAAAAGAAGGGGGGACGCTCCAAAAAAAAAAAGACAAACTTTCCCCCTTATGATGTAAATGTTCTTTATCTTCAGCTCATGAGGAGGGCGTTTCAGGATTAAAAATATTTCCCAAGTATAGTCTTTGATTCCATTTTCATACTAAGGGACATAATTTTGTTTGGCCACAGATACTGAGGCTGAAAGGAAAGAAGAGCAAGAAATGCCCTTTTTGAGTTCTGTGGGAGGTATTTATTGCCAAGTTCATGCCTAAATGGTTCCTGAGCAGGAAACAGGTGACCAGCGCCTGAGCAGGTGGGCAGACACCGTCTCCGGGCCCGTCATTACATTGGTCGCCGTATGCCTGTGGTTATTTTTTTAATGTATTCATGCCTGAAAAGTGAATTTGATATGACACATGATAATCTATGAAAATGTTAATCAATACAAATAGTTTAAGCTGTCATCAAATGCACTTCTTTAGTCAATACTCATACCACTGAAAACAATGTCACTTCACCAGGGCTTAATTTGCACAGCACTTAAATATTGGCCTCCGTGCATCAATGCATTTCGTCTTCAAATACTGTAGGTAAACACATTTTCTCCCTATTTAAGGCTGAAGCACTCAGCACGCATTTAGCTGAGCCGAATCCTCCCTTTTGAATACCTTGATAGGTCCACTGGAGGGCAAAATTAATACTTAATTGAATCTCACAGTCATCAAAATAATCAATACTTTTTTATTATTTATTCTTTACAGTCTGTTGACTGTTTCAGACCTCTGAGGGAATGGTGGAAAGGATTCATGGCTCTGAAACACTGTCATTTAACAAGGTAATTTTCAGTGGGGCATTAGGGGTTGTGAAACATATAATAAAACAAAAATGGTGGCTTATAATAGGAAGAAAGAAAAGAATTATATTTCTGCCATCTAACAAAACAGGATAAATAAAAAAAGCAAGTGCAGAAAGAGAGCAAGAAAGGAGGGGGTGAGGGAGAGAGAAAGACTTGCTTTTGAAGGGTTTTATCATATCAAGAGCAGAGGCGAGCTTCATAATGCTGACATTTCTCATCCTGACAATCCTAAACAAGTGGAAAGGATGAGATCGCAGATATCATCTTTCATCACATTCCCCAGCTTAAGAACCAACATGACAGCTCCTCTCCCCTTTACACTGTTAATTACTAAATAAAATACTGCTCTCTGTCAGCATCAGATTATTGCAGATAGCAACCACAAACATTGCTCCATTGTTTTCCCTCTCTGAAACAGTGATACCTACCTTGAACTCTTTACAAAATAGATTGAGCTTGTCTCACCATATTGTAAATATTTGAAATATAGTCAATGTAATCAATGTGGTCGATTCACAGTATTGTCAGCCTGAATTTGCTGGTGATGGACTGGCATTTAATTTACTATGCTTGGTTGCCTTGATTTGGAAACCTTAACATGGGTGGTGGGGAGAAATAGACTGTGGGGAAAGGAAACACAAAATACTCAAAATGCGCCCTCCCAATTTTTTTTCCCAGCTATGTAAGAAAGAATGCATGTTTGGGTTCTTTTGATTCAGTTAATGGAACCCAGTTGCATAGGGAAGAAAATGCTGCTTTAGAACATGGTTCTGATACATACATTCCTCACAGGAAAGAAAGAGGCCAAGGTTCAATTCTAGCACATTCTCTTTATTTTATAACACAGGTTGACTTCTCAGTTATCTCTCTAATCTAAAGTAAGGGGCATGGCTTGTGTCTTTGCATGCTGCCTCTGCAGCTGCTTTGCCCATTGAGTTTTTTTAAAGGTAATATTCACAATAAACCAATGAGAAGAATGGTAATACCTTCATCACAAGCCATAAGGTAGTTATAACATTATTAGTGATGGTCTGAATAGACTTAAAAATATTCTATGCTTGTTTTATGTGTCAGTGGTCAAAATGAAACCCAAATCACATAGAGATGCTGAAATGCAGCTGCTACGTTCAAGTGCACTTAAATCTTTAAGATGTTTAGTCTTGTTGATGTGTGTAAAGCATGTGCTTACAGATGGTATATATTCACTGACCATTACCACTTCTTTAAATTACTTTTATGTACCTTATACATAGCTAGGTTTCCGACTAGTGCCTCTGAATGACTTGAGTATAGAAAGTCCATAAGTTTGCCCTTCAAGTATTCATTTGATTTTCATCTTACAAAATACTTTACATTTCCACAATATGAATGTGTGTGTGCATATGTGTGCATGACAAGGTTTAACAGCAAAACCCACCGTAACGCAGAGAGAAAAAAGACAGCTTTTTATCACAGCTGTAGCCTCTGGGAGGGGTCCATTGGAAAAATGTGTCACAAGCAGTAACCACTGAGTACAGCATTATAAGTGATGGGGGAGTTTCTCTTTCAAGCAACACTCGGCTTGGAAGACATCTCTCCCTGCTAAAAGCAATGGCAGTCTGTAAATCCTTTCTACCAGAGTGAAGAAAGGATTTTGTGAGAATGTAAGAGGGAAACTTCAACATATATAAGGATCTCTGCAGCAGCCAACAGGAACAGAAATAGCTGGTGCGAGTGAAAAATAGAACTGGTAAAGAATCCTTACTTGAAATATGAAATAAGAAAAATAAAGCTCCTGGAAGAGAGCAACATAGAATGACATGTGGCAGAGATGCCTCCAGACTCTGAGCAGGCTGTCTTAATTGAGGTTAACTTTGGGGAGAGGGGGGTTGAGTTTCCCTCCCTGCCCCTACAGAGCCCCAGCAGCAGAAAACCTCCAGAGCTCAATGGTCACTGTGCTCACGGCTGCTCTCCACAGGCTCAGACAAGCCTCACCAATGAGTGTATAATCGAATTCTAATTTTTAGAATTCCTGGAGCAAGCCCCCATATTTGAGGTCGTGCAATCTCTCATACTCTATACCACTGATGTACCAAGAGTAGCACACAACATTTGATGGGGTTTAAAGTAGAAGGCAACCAAACTCATGGGGGGGGGAATATATATATATATATATATATATATATGTATATATATATATATAAAGGTTGAGCCTGCGTACATATGTATATGTTTATATGCATGCAGGCTCAACCTTTAACAAACATGTTAGTAATCTCTTATACAAGGGTTTAATGACTCCAGGATAACATACAACTATCTTCACATACTTCTTCTAAGGAAACTTTATAGGACCATTTTTAGCAGTTTATTCATAACAAGCAATACACAATTAATTGTATCGGTTCTGCTTTAGTAGACGTGGTTTCAGATTTGGGGTGGGAATATTTGAGATATGGTTGTAGGAAGGTGCAATGGTGGTGGGATTTGTGTTTGAATAAATGTAATGAATTAAATGTAATGAATTATTGTGGACAACTTTATAAAAATAAAAGAAAAAAGAAAATGTGAAATAGTTACAACTATAGTCAAAGAAGTTGCGGTTCTTTGCAATCTGTTCATCAGCCCTGATAGAAGATTATCATTAATACAAAGTGTGTGCAAGTGTAGGGTCAGCAGAGATGCAGAGCCACGTGGCAAAAACAAATGAGGCAGGAGAGGTCATTCTCATTAACAAATTCTCCACCAAACTTTCACTGTGTTGTGAAATAAAAGCATTCCAGTAAAACTCAAAACTACACAGTAACTGGGGGCCTCACGACAGTACAGTGGATAGGACACTTGTGTTGCAAACAACTGACCTGGAATTTATCCCCAGCACTAAGTATGGTCTTCCCCAGCCCTTCAGGAGTCATTCCTGAGTGCAGATTCAGGAGTAACCAACCACTGGTCACTTCTGGGTGTTGCCAAAAACAAAGAAAAAAAAACAAGAACTACGCAATAATTGTGTAAATATTCTCTAGGCATTGTTAACTTAAAGGAAGAAAAAGATTTCATTTACTGATCATCTTTACTGCGTAGCACTGTAGCGCTGTCCTCCTGTTGTTCATCGATTTGCTGAAGCAGGCACCAGTAACGTCTCCCTTGTGAGACTTCTTGTTACTGTGTTTAGCATATCGAATACGTCACAGGGAGCTTGCCAGGCTCTGCCATGTGGGCGGGATATGCTCGGGTAGCTTGCTGGGCTCTCCAAGAGGGATGGAGGAATCAAACCCAGGTCAGCCACATGCAAGACAAACGCCCTACCCACTATGCTATTGCTCCAGCCTAATGTATGTACCTTATTTATTATGTTTGTTTCTAGGCCATACCCAGCAGTGTTCAGGGCTTATCCCTGTCTCTGTGCTCAGGGGTCCATCCTAGTGAGGTTTGGAAACTGTGTGTGGTCCTGGAGATTGAGCCTGAGATAGATGTATTCGAAGCAAGTGCACTACTCACTCTACTATCTCTCCAGTACTATCGATATACCCTGCCACCCAGACTGTGGAAGGTTTTCACCTCAATTTAGAGATATAGTGCTGAGACTTAAAAAGAAAAAAAAAAAAGAAACTAAAGTCACTGCATGAAGTTATAATTTGAGCCTTCATGGATTACTGTCCAAAACTAAGTCTGTTTAGGCTTTTTAGTTCATTAGGGTTTGGGAATGAAATAGGCTCCTCGACTAGGAACCTATGACGTTTCCCAGAACTTGGATTACAAATTATGAAGGGTGTCTCAGGCTAAACCAGTGACTCCCAGAACATGCTGCAATAGCTCAATTCAGACTCTGGAGCAACATGCTTCCCATCCAACACTGCCTGGGTGAGCTGCCGGACAATGGAGTATAGCAGTATCTGAGATGAAGGCCTCACTCATCTGCTCCATCTCCAATAACAGCAAATCACTTAAACGCTTTTATTCTCACATTTCTCATATGCCAGACACAGTAACAACAAAGTCTCCAATGGAGACGTTACTGGGCCCGCTCGAGCAATGGGAAATAAAAAGATGATAATAATGTGGCATTTCCCAAAGCCCATTTCACAAAAGAAAACTTATCCTAACCGATGTTCTACAATAAAAGAGTATTAAAGTCATATCCATATGAAAAATGCATCAGAAAAACCTAGCAGAAAAACAATTCAACTCTACTTAAGCACTTCTCCAAATTATTTGACACTGGGAGGCCCCATCCTTATCATATTAATTGTATTATCTAATGGATTTTGCAGTCTTCAAAACTCATGTGGATTACAGATGAGTACAGAATGTACTCATGTGGATTACAGAAAATATAAATTATATGGTGAAATTACAACACTAATTTTAATGATTCCACATTAACTGACTAAAGGTCTCAACAAGTGTATATATATATATATGTGTGTGTGTGTGTGTTCAGTATTTTTTTAACTTTTTGATAACTTTGCTTAATAATATTCTTTAGTTTAGAACCATTATAAACAACA